AGATTATTGTTAAACGATAGCAGTCTACACGTTTTCCTTAAAGATTAATTGGAAGCGTCGAGCTACTAACCTAATCAATCAGTTCTCGCAAAAGGCTGTTAAGATGGTAAATTCTAAAGTACGGAACTTTAATGAAGATTCTAAATATAATCATAATTCGCTTATTTTAACTCTTAGGATGTCCTAGAAGTACATATTCCTGTGACGCAGGTGACAAATGTCTACTTCTGAGTTCATTGTGTGACGGCATGAATGATTGTCAAGATGGCACAGATGAGAAAAATTGCCCTCTCAATACTGGTAGGTGGTTATGACAACATGCGTGCACTATTCGCCGTTCCATTTCGGCGAATTTTCGTTTCGAAAGACATTAGTGGTTTACGAATATTCGGAACAATCTTATCGAAATTTCGACGAAATTTGTGAGAACAAAAAGCGAAATTCGACGAAATTCGTTTACATTACTTCTTCACAGTACTGTAAGTTAACACTTCAATAAGTAATATCAAGAGAAAATGCTTGGCAATATGGAATAACTTAGCACATTTTTAGTATTCGGCTTGTTTATTAGCTCTCGTAGCTATGGAATACACTAGAGCTTGTCGCTCTTTAATTATCACAATCAGAAGTTTCAAGTATTATATTTCTGTCTTTCTTACCAAACTAGCCTGAAACAGCTTATTTCGTTCTTCTATTCAGCAGCAATTCGAAGCGAACTTTAGTTGCTATACACTGCAGATAACCAACAGTCGTTTCTACTGCCTCATTCCTTTATTTCGAAAATCTACTTCAATGTCTGTCAACCTACATCACATAAAAGATTTCATCAACTTGAGTTGCGTTGCCGACCTTGCCGTACAAATTACGACCAATTGTGGTGGCTTTTTAGAGTACAGGTTCACTTTTTCTTGTATGGTGTCATTCCAAACTTTGTTTATTTGTAGCAACCGATGAAAGATAGCAACTCAAAGAAATTGAAGGAGTCATCATATTGTTTCAATTATTTCAATTATTTAAACATTTTTAAATTGTTCATATTATTATCTATTAATATATTATTTCAGCAAATTATTCAATATTCAATGTTATTTAAGGTATAAATCAAGTGTCTCTACCTAACTTAACACTTGCTGTTTTGTTTTTCCCACGCTGTTTTCCAAAAGTCTGTGAGTCTAACAAGCTCTCCTGTGACGAAGGTGCGAAATGCTTACCGCTGACCTGGGTGTGTGACAACATAAATGACTGCAATGACAACAAAGATGAGCACAACTGCCCTAATCGGAGGACTGGTGAGGATGTATTTGCATTTTATTTACATTTCTTTCTTCCTATTTTTTCATTCTAAGCAATGCCTTTTCAAACAGAACTAAACCGGGTGTAGAAGTCCTATGATAAGTCAGTCAACTTCTCAGGTCACGCAGCAATCTATAAAATCTTCTAAAATCAGTTTAATCTATATAATCTTAATCTGTGTAATCTGTGTAATCTAAGGGTGTTTTTCTTTGGGGTGATCTGGATCAGGATAAGGATCAAGATCACTCAGATCATGGTACATCAAAGGAACCGATGAATTCACTCTTGTCATGGATTTATCGCTTCCTTTGATGCACCATGATCCGAGTGATCTTGGATCACTGATCCTGATCCAGCCACTCCAGCGGAACGCACCCTTAATCTGTGAAATCTTAATCTGTTTCTTCAGACGAATCCATGGCCCATGCTGCAGAAGAGGCGGCAATAACCGCTGCCCAGGAAGCCAAACATGCCGCAGCTGCAGCTCAAGAACTAATGTTACAAGCCAGAAAAGCCGCTGAAAAAGCCAGCCGCGCAATGAAAATTGCCGAAGCGTACAAGGGAAAGAAAGTGTAACAAGATATAATAACATCAAATGTTCTCTACTTTTTTAACTGGCTTAGCACCAATGCACTTGCCTCATTTACATGTAAAATAGAACGAAGTCTTCTCATTTGAGAGATAATGTGAATAAAATAATGAACTTGCTTTTAGCCTTTGTGAACTGGACAAAGCGTAACATTTAATGTCAAAGAAATAACGAGGAGAGTTCGGAGAATCCGAGACAGTTATGCAAACCCTCTACTACGTGTCGGGTTTGCATAACTTTCGAGAATTCTCCCAATCCCCCTAGTGTTTAGATGAGGCTATGTAAACACGGAAAAAGTGCTTTATTGCTTTTACAAAATAATTGTCAAAAATACGCGCGAATCTAAAACATCACAACCGAGTTTACATACTCTCATCTAAACACACCTATCGACCAATGAGAGCGCGCGTAGTAGCTCAGTTATTTTGTAATTGACTATACTGTTGTTTATTTATGTTTGAGATTACTAAAAGAATGACAGTTCAGATGGGATATTGGAGACCTTGCACCATTAAGACTCATTGGATAGTACAAACCCTTCAAGTACAAATGTGGCTTTACCTCTGACATGAGTAATAAAGACAAAATCGATGGGAGCAGTTTCTAAAAACATGGGGAATATGGTCCTGAGATTATTGGCCAAAACAGCTAAGGTTCGAGAAAACTGTAGAATGTTTTTTTGCACATTACTATGACATGCTTCAAGATGACTATAAAAACGTGAAGGGCAATTTCTTGGTTAGACTATGATACCAATGCTCATCGGCCATCATTGACCATAGAAAATCTTGACCATTGGAATCAATTGAAGCAAATTCGTCATTGACGACATTCCAAGCTGTTTCAATTACAACTCGGCAATATTGAAATTTGACGTATAAAAAAGTCCCTGAAGCCAGAGTTTCTCCGACGTTAACTGGTTTTTTAACACACGTTTTGTTTTAAAAGTGCTGGAAGTGTTCGATTACCACAGGACGAAATATCAAGAATCCGTAAACGGAAACGTGGTAGAAATATGTTAAACCGTCGCGGAAACACGACGGTTGACACGTGTTTCCGCTGGCGGTTTGGTGGCGTTTACTCGTGTTTCCGTTGCTGCGGTCACAGCGGAACCGTACCACTTTTTTACATGTTTCCGTCAGGTTTCAGTTGAAGGAAATAAGTGTTTCCGCAAGCGTAACTTCATGTTAACATGTACGGAAACACTTGGTAACGTTCCGGAAATCTGAATTTTTTAGATTTCCTTCGACGTAATCAGACCTAAACGTTCACGGAAATACAAGGTTATGTTCCGGAAACACGTTTTTGCCTTGTTNCCGTCAGGTTTCAGTTGAAGGAAATAAGTGATTCCGCAAGCGTAACTTCATGTTAACATGTGCGGAAACACTTGGTAACGTTCCGGAAATCTGAATTTTTTAGATTTCCGTCGACGTAATTAGACCTAAACGTTCACGGAAATACTAGGTTATGTTCCGGAAACACGTTTTTGCCTTGTTTCCGCTGACGTAAAAAAACAAATGTCGACAGAACACTAGGCTACTTTCACGAAACAAGTTTTTCTCTTGTTTCTGCTGACGTATTCAGACCTAAAGTCACTAGGTTTCGTTCCGGAAACGCGAATTTGTTTTCTTGCTCGTTGCTATATATCAAGCTCTTTCAGCACTCGTTATTCCTGATCTTCCTTTGTCATTACAAGACAGGTAAATATGTTGTGATTGTGTTATTGTTTTAACCCATACCATATCTATGCCCCAGTATGTGAAATCACACAAATATAAGAGCGATATTTTCTTCACAACTTCAATCAATTTATTTTATTTTCCTTTTCTTCAATCGATCGATCGGTGACACTTTAATTCTTGTTATTTTTTAAAAAAAATACATGTATATTCGCTCCTCGTCCTCGTCATTTGAACATAACATGCCTAAAATTCCTTTCTT